CACCGATGTTGGCACGCATTTCACACGGTTCGTGGCCCCACAGGGATTTCCATTGAAAGCCCTAGCGGCAGGGTCCGCATGCGGGGACCACCGCCCATTTGGGCACACCTTTAATTCGGTTCGTGGCCCCACAGTGAGCTCCTCCGAAGGCCCCAGCAGCAGGGTCCGCATGCGGGGACCGCCACTCAGTTTGGCACACCCTTCACACGGTTCGCGGCCCCACAGGGAGTTCTACCGAAGGCCCCAGTGGCAGGGTCCGCATGCGGGGACCGCCACCCGTTTCGGCACATTTTTCACACGGTTCGTGGTTTCACAGGGAGTTCCACCGAAGGCCCCAGCGGCAGGGCTTGCACGCGGAGACCGCCATCCATTTGGGCACATTTTTCACACGGTCCGTGGCCCAACAGGGAGTTCCACCGAAGGCCCCAGTGGCAGGGTCCGCATGCGGGGACCGCCGCCCATTTCGGCAAGTTTCTCACACGTTTCGTGGCCCCACAGGGAGCTCCACCGAAGGCCCCAGTGGCAGGGTCAGCATGCGGGGACCGCCACCCATTTTGGCACACCTTGCACACGGTTCGTGAACCCACAGGGAGCTCCACCGAAGGCATAGCGTCAGGGTCCGCATGCGGGGACCACCACCCATTGTGGCACACCTTTCACACGGTTCGTGGCCCCACAGGGAGTTCCACCGAAGGCCCCAGTGGCAGGGTCCGCATGCGGGGGCCGCCACCCATTTTGGCACATTTTTCACACGGTTGGAGGCCCCACAGGGAGTTCACCAAAGGCCCCAGTGGCAGGGTCCGCATGCGGGGGCCGCCACCCATTGTGGCACATTTCTCACACGATTCGTGGCCCCACAGGGGGTTCCACAGAAGGCCCAGCGGCAGGGTCCGCATGCGGGGACCGCCACCCATTGTCGCATGTTTCGCACGGTTCGTGGCCCCACAGGGAGCTCCACCGAAGGCCCCAGCGGCAGGGTCAGCATGCGGGGACCGCCACACATTTGGGCACACCCATCACACGGTTCGTGGCCCCACAGGGAGTTCCACAGAAGGCCCAGCGGCAGGGTCCGCATGCGGGGACCGCCACCCATGTTGGCACACCCTTCACACGGTCCGTGGCCCCACAGTGGGTTCCACCGAAGGTCCCAGCGGCAGGGGCCGCATGCGGGGACCGCCATTCATTTTGGTACATTTTGCACACGGTTCGTGGCCCCACAGGGACCTCCACCAAAGGCAACAGTGGCAGGGGCCGCATGTGGAGACCGCCACGCATTTTGGCACACCCTTCACACGGTTCGTGGCCCCACAGGGAGCTCCATCGAAGGCCCCAGCGGCAGGGTCCGCATGCGGGGACCGCCACCCATTTTGGCACACCTTTCACACGGTTCGTGGCCCCACAGGGACTTCCACCGAAGGCCCCAGTGGCAGGGTCCGCCTGCGGGGACCGCCATCCATTTTGGCACACCCCTGTTCGTGGCCCCACAGTGAGTTCCTCCTAAGGCCCCAGTGGCAGGGTCCGCATGCGGGGACCGCTATCCATTTTGGCCCACCCCTCACACGGTTCGTGGCCCCACAGGGAGCTCCACCGACGGCCCCAGTGGCAGGGTCCGCATGCAGGGACCGCCACCCATTTTGGTATACCCCTCGCATAGTTCGTGGCCCAACAGGGTTCGTGGCCCCACAGGGAGCTCCACCGAGGGCCCCAGTGGCAGGGTCCGCATGCGGGGACCGCCACCCATGTCGGCGCACCCCTCACACGGTTCGTGGCCCCACAGGGAGCTCCACCGAAGGCCCCAGTGGCACAGGCCGCATGCTCCCGACGTCCATTTTGGCACACCCCTCACACGGTTCGTGACCCCATATGGAGCTCCATTGAAAGCGATACCCACAACGCGGTATTCACAATTGCGCATGGTTGGGTTTTTCGCAAGGATATTTTGGGAAGTTCGGGCGGGCCTAGGACAAGGATAAATCAGTTCCAGAACGCTCTCAGAGCTCTCCGGAACGGTTCGAGAAGGCCGCGGCGCCCGAGAGATCCTCCGGAGCCGCCAGATCTTCGAGATTGTCGATTTATCCACACCCGAATTGATTTTCGTCCTGGCTTCGTCTTAGAAGTCGCAATGCCACTTTCCTGCCCGGGCCCCTAGGGGTAAGATGCGCCAGAACTTCCCGCGATGGCTTCTAATTCTCTGCGCTGTACGGGGAGGCCGCGGCCTAACGGGAGGCAGACCATGTCGTTTGCTGTCTCTCCGGTCAGCGCTTTTGAATCCAGGGGGGTGTACTTTACCTGGAGACGAGCAGGCTTTGCATCGCTCGGACGCGTGCATTTTTCCCCGGCGAGGACAACCGAGGAGCATGTTGGGCCATCTCGCGAAAGATACACGCACGAAGCCGAAAAATGCACGGGGGGCATGGATGTCCGAGCGATGGCGAGCAGGAGGTGGAGTGGGAGCGAGGGCGGCCACGTGTTGCCCCATCGCACGTGGGCCAAGACCGAGGCAGCACTGCATCGGGGCCGCGGGCGACCCGGACAGCTTAGCGCCCCACGAGAGGCGGGAAGCTTTGGGCTGGTGAGAGGTTGCGGGAGGGGTCAGGACAGGAGAGGCTCAGGAGAAGATCGGGAGCCGGAAGTGAGCTCTGGCCGCGGCTTCTCGTCGCCTGTTTTCTTCGAACGGTGCTTGCGCTAAAGGGGGTCTTGTGCTCTAGAGATCCAGAGGTGTCTCCCGTGCTTCTTCTGCAGCGGCTGCGTTGGCCCTCCATGACTTGCCATCCTCTGGCTTCCCGCCCACTTGGTCGTGTCTCCCCTGTTTCGTCTCCGGTGGCAATTCGGCATTCTACGCCTGCCCCACGCAGGGCCACACACGCTTAGGGTTCCGCACGCGTAGGGTTCCGCTCGCACGGGGAAAGTTCCACACACACACGCACACACACACACACACACATGAGGCTCAATGCACACAGCGCTCCACACACGAAGGGCTCCACAGGTAGAGTTCCACGCCCATCGGGCTCCACCCGCGTGCTGCGCGAATGAATCCGTTGGTGCCCCCGCGCTCGCACCGGAACGTGTTCCCTTCTCCTTCGCCTCCGCCGCACGGGCTCGTGCGGCCCTGCCCCCGCCACCGAGAGGGTCGGAGGAGTGCGGCTGGCACGAGGGCCAAGAGCAGCCCTTCTCTTCGGAGGGGCACCCTTGTGTTCTTCGCGTCTGATCCCCTCCCCCCCCCGGCCGCCCGCTCTGCCCCCTTCCCACTCCTTGCATGCTGGCCAATTCGCTTGTCGGTGCCCCCGTCTGGATCTATCGCTGGTGCAGCCAATTCTGCCTCGCCGCTGACGGAAAAAATGCTCTTCGCGTATGGGCTCGCCACCTTCGACTATTCTTCGTCTCTTGGGGCTTTGGATATTCGGCGAGGGGGCTCGTTTTTTCTTGACCCTCGTTCTTGTATCCACGCTCCGCCTGTAGGACAAAGGGGGAAGGGGCGCCTGGACAACTCGACCTGTCGGCGATGCATCGCCGAGTCCAGGGCTCCTCCTCCTCCTCCTCCTCCTCCTCCCTCCTCCTCCTCCTCCTCCTCCTCCTCCTCCTCCTCCTCCCTCCTCCTCCTCCTCCTCCTCCTCCTCCTCCTCCTCCTCCTCCTCCTCCTCCTCCTCCTCCTCCTCCTCCTCCTCCTCCTCCTCCTCCCCCCTCCTCCTCCTGGCGAAATTCGTCCCATCCTCGCACCCTTCTAGTCCTACAGGTGGCCTCCTCGTCGCCACGGCCGGGCGCGGCTCGGCAAACGAGCCAGCATGCACCCCGAGGGGTCTGGGAGGGAAATTTTGAGCTGATTTTCGCGAGGAGGGAGGGCCTCCTCCTCCTCCTCCTCCTCCTCCTCCTCCTCCTCCTCCTCCTCCTCCTCCCTCTCCTCCTCCTTTTCCTCCCTTTTCTCCCTTTCCTCCTCCTCCTCCTCCTCTTCCTCCTCCTTCTCCTTTCTCCTCCTCATCCTCCTCCTCCTTCTCCTCCTCCTTCTCCTCATCCTCCTCCTCGTCCTCCTCCTCCTCCTGCTTCTCCTCGTCCGGGAAGTGAACCAGGGACTAGGAGAACGCGTCGAAGGAGATCAACGTTTTCAGATGTTCCAAGAAGGGCCCAGAGGTTCCCAAGGGATTGCGTATTGTTTCATATGGTTCCACACAAGTTTCCCGTGTCTGAGGCGCGTTTCGGCGGCAGGTCAGCGGTCGGACCGGAACGCACTTGTGGAAGTCGCTTTTTGTGACCTAGGCATCGCACCGAGTGGGCAGGCGCCAGGGGAATGTTTTACCCTCCCCTTCCACCCCCCTTGAAACGGAGGGGCGGGTCGGACCCGCATGATGGACCAATCGCACCGAGTGAGAACCATTTCAACCAGCCGCGAAGACGACTGGTACCAATTACAGCCCGCCATCTTTAGCCTTACAACAGAAGTATGCTTGCGAAACGGTTTAGCACGATCCAAGAACAAAGGATGTTCTTCAATGCAAACATGTGTTACGAAAAGCACCATGAGCGCCAAAGTTACCAGTGGTATGCTTTGTTTCATGTGTGGGTTGTGTAGTAAATAATCAGTTCTCCGTTGCCACAGTCGAGCTGTATAGTCATGTTCGATGTTGTGAGGGTTGTACGGTTCTGATAGGAAAACCAAAGTCGTTCGTTTAATCTAGTTTTCATGCGGAGATTGTACGGCTTTCGTTGGAGAATTCGGTAGGTTTCATACGCGAATTGTGTTGCATTCGTGCGGGAAGTGTGTATGCTCATCCAGGAACAGTGTATTTTCAATTGAGAAGTGTATAAATTATCCACACAAGACGCGTGTCTAATTAACATATGAGAAAGGCACGGTTGTCATATTCGGCAGGGCGCGTTCTGTTCTTCTGTTCGGTGGACGCTTGGAAGGGGTGATGGAGATTCGAACCAGAGGTTCCCCCTCAGAATTTTCAAGGTGGGGTGGGGTTCGTACCCCCCCCCCCCCCACAATACTCGCTGGTGGGAAGCGACGACGCCGGGTGCCAGCGCCTGCGCCTGCGCTGACGGCCACGACGACAAAGACGACGACAACGACGATGGCGACGACGACGAATGACAGGGACGGCTTCGATGGACGACGATGACGATGACGACGATGATGATGATAATGATGATCATATTGATGATGATGATGATGATGATGACGATGATGATGATGATGATGATGATGATGATGATGATGATGATGATGATGATGATGATGATGATGATGATGTTGCTGCTGATGCTGGTGCTGATGCCGATGCTGGTGATGATGTTGACGATAATGACGATGACAGTGAGCATGATGATGTTGACGATGGTGGGTATGAGCATGAGAATGAAGATTACGACGACGACGATGGTTTTGTGACGATGAGTATGAGTATTACGATGGCGATGGCGATGATGACGATGATGATGATGGTCATGTTGCTGATGATGAGGAGGATGGGGATGCGAATGAGTATGATGATGAAGATGATGATGAGGATGAGGACGAGGATGAGGATGAGGATGCTGATGATGGTGATGATTAAGATGAGGATCAGGATGAGTATGATGGTTTGCCAGCGGCGAGCGGGTGGGGGAAGGTCGACCCCCCCTTGTGCTGGCGCCAGCGCCGCGCCGCCGCCGCCGTGGTTGTCCCTGTAGTCGGCGTCGTCGCCGTCGTCGTAGTCGTCTTCGTAGGCGTTCTTTCCTGGCGGCGAATAGGGTTTATAGTGGGGACCGGAAGGAGAATCTTCCTCTGCGTCCGGGCGCGCCGAATGTTAGGGGAGCGGGGGCTGGGGAGAGCGATTGGTTCCGACGTGTCGCGGGATGTTTCCGAAGCAAGCGTCCACGAAACATGTTCTCTCAAATTCCATATGTCACTGTTTTCACCTGAAAGTTGCCTTGTAAAGGTCTCGTATTGTGGCGTGGGAACGGTGTACTCTGCATGTGCTTGAAGGTTTCTTCCGTATGAGACTCGTGTACTCTCCAAACATGAATTTTTGAATATGTCATATGATCGGGTATAGTTCTTAGCGAAGTTGTACAGTTGTCAGTCAAAAATTGTTAGGGTGCAAACGGTAAGCATACTGCATGGAAAAAGACAGCTTCATTCGAGGCGCGGCAAGTTTCTGTATGATAGAACTTGCGAGAAGTGTAGGAGTGATTTAGGTGCACAGATTTGGGGGTCGCAGAGAGATCGTCTGCACTTAAAGATGAAAAATGTAATGCTGTCACACGAGATGGGTACAGGTGTCGTTGTAAATTGATCCAAGTTCCACACGGGAGCTGTACATGTTGCCATTGATAATCATATGGTTTGTCATGTGAGACACATAGATTTCAGAGTAGATCTGCAGACTACCTAAGTGGGACATGTATTGTGGCCATGAGATTACATAGTTTTCGCCAGAAAGTGCAATTTTCATACACGAGCTACCGATGTGTCAGATGAGAGTTGCGTAGCTTCTGCACGGTGACTGTGAAAGTTGCTTTGGAAAACTATGCACGTAACATGAGGTCGCTATAGTGTGCTACAAAATGGGTTCTGTAATTCCCATATGAAAAAACGGTGCAGTTGTCAGTCGGGAACATCATGCGATGGTCTTGTGAAAAAAAAGAGTCTGTTTTCTCTTGAAAAGAGTCAGGTTTCGCTTGAGACCTGTATGGGTCCCATGCAGCAAATTCAGTGGTTTCACATGGGACTTGTCTGGGTGTCATTTGGGAGGCGTACAGCTTTCAGGTTGGAGCCGCTTGTGTTTCAAGTGAAAGCTGTACTGCCTTGCGCATTAGAGTTGCAACGCTAGCACATGCCAAGATATGACTACTCCCTTTTTGTCCAAACGGGGCTTGTGTTGACTCTGCAATAGACTTGTACACTTTCCCGTTGGACGTGCATAAGTTTCACTTGGGAGTTGCACAGGTCCAGTATGGCAATTATGTAGCTGTCATGTTGTCAAGTGCATCGGGAAATTGTCCCAGTAGCACCTGCAATGGTCTTGTAACATGCGTGGTTAGAGTAGTGGTGCTATGAAGGTTTTACGAATATAAATAACACTGGTCGCACAAATAGCGGTTATAATGGTAGTAGTACTCGCAGTGGTAGTAATGTTTTAGACGCTTCGCGTAAACCAAACGGTGTTCCTGGCTGCTGGTCCGCAGACACCGCCACAGCCTGGCCGTGTTTGAAGCTGCCGCCTGCATGATGGAACGCGCCCATACGTGGATTGCTCAAGAGTGGTTCAGCTTTCTTGTTCAGCCATGTGAGGTTGTCACCGTCGGCATGCAGCATTGGTACGGTACACTGCTTGCGCAGCCCCGCGCTTTGCCACGATCGGTGGCACGACTACCTCTGGCGCCTGGCGCGACAGGGTACACTTCGCTCGTCTTCCTGGTGGTCTCGCCTCTGGGATGGCTGCATTTCGGCCGCCTGGCTCTCCTGGCAGTTCCTGCAGCCTGCCTTCAGCCCCCGGCGCCGCTCAGCGTCCTTCGGCGGCATCTGTGGCAGCCGTGAGTGCGCTCGCTGGATACTTAGGTCCCGCCCGTAGCCCAGGTCGACCTTTGACGCCGCCTGCGCTTTCGCTTGTGGCTGCGACGAAAAAAGGAAACCAACCGGCCAGTCCAAAAACGATGCCCAGACGACTTTCTTTGATCAGGGATAGGGATGTGGATAGGCATGCAGTGGATTGAAGGCTGGGTAAGACGTCATACCCCAAGAGGGGTAGGATGGAGGAGGAATCGGATGAGCAGGAGGAAGAGGCAGAGTAGGAGAGGGGATGGGGAAGCAGGGAAGAGAAAGGAGAAGAAATAGGCGGATGAGGAAGAGGAGAAGGATGAGAGTGAGCAGAAAGACTTAAAGTTGGTTGGATGCCTCTCGGAGTGGATTCGGATTTCTTCCGAGAGATTATTGGAGTCCTTTTTGGGGTGTTTTGGAAGCTCAGTTGGCAGTCCCTGGGGCGTCATGGGTGCCTCTCTGGGGAGCCTTTCGGGGCCTTGGGGGTCTCTGAGTAGCCTATTGGGGGCATCGTTGGGGGACCTTGGGGGCCGTCTGAAGGCATCTTGGGGCCGTCTCGGGACAACCTTGGGCGCCTCGGGGGCCATCTTGGAGGAGATCGATCAAAGAAGGAGGGCTTCATTTACGCATTCCCCCCCCCAGTGTCGGCAGCACACTCTGGAACTGCCGAAGCCCCTACACACGAATTAATGAACAAGAAAAACAACATGAATGAAATGATATGGTTCTGGGGGGTATCTTCGGGGCCTCTCAGAGCCTCCTGGGCACCTTTCGGGGCCGTCTTGGGGCACTCTTGGGAGACTCGGGGGCCATCTTGGGGCCCTTGCAGGAAATCGATCAAAGGAGGAGCCGTAATACATTAGGGTTTCCTCCCCAGGAAACCTAAATGTGGCCACAACCTACGTAAGTAAAATCAATGGTGTTGGCCTTCTCGCCGAGGCCTCTCGGAGTATCTTGGATGTCTCTGGGGGGTCTATTGGGAGCCTCTGGGGGGTATATTCAGAGCCTTTGGGGGGCCTCTTAGGGACCTCTTGGGGCCTCCGGGGCACCTCTTGGGGCCGTTTTGGGTCTCGGGGCACCCGCGCGCCCTTGGGAGCTTCGGAGGCCATCTTGGGGCCATCTTGGCGGAGATCGATGGAAGAAGGGGCAGGTTCCAATGAGGCCCCGCCCAGCTCGGCGACGGATACGCTCTCCAGACCCGCCGGGCTTCAGTGGGTCCCGATCCATCCTTACCCGAGGCTGTCCTCATCCTGCCTTCTTATTACGTGGGCCGCTGTGTGGCTCGGGGAGCCGACTCCGATCGCCGCCGTCGCCGCCCACGTCGTCGATGGCGCCCGCCGCCGCCCTCTGTGCCGCCAGGGGCCGCGTGTTCCTCTCCGCCGCACTCCTGCGGCAGCGGCTTGCCCGCGGCGCCAGCGGCCAGCGAAGGCCGCACGGGCCGCGCCCGCCTCCGACGCGGCACGACGACGACGTCGACGACGGCGAAGCCGACGACCCCAGACGTTGTGAAAAAATCCAGACGGCATGCTGTTGTTGTGCTCTTGCTCGCCAGAGCACGTGACACGTGTGCAGAGCTACACTGTCACGGCCACGTGCTCCTGCGGTTTCGCTGCGTTCCTGCTCTGAACGCACACCGCTTGAGGCGGCGGAGAGCCTGAGAGAGCCATCCAAAAGACAGCTTCTCGTTGTGGAAAACATCCAGCCGAAGGTTTTTGTTGCGATGTTCGACCTCGGGGGGCCCTCACCGCAGACCCCGGGACCGTCAACAAAAAAAGCAATGTGCAAAGTTGGTGTTGGGGAAGGGGTGCAGATCTCCAGTGAGTCCCCGTGCGAAGAGAAACGCAAGCAGTAGCAACAACAGCAGCAGCAGCAGCAGCAACAACAACAACAGCAACAGCAGCAAAAACACCAGCAACAATCATTGTAATACTCTTCGCTCCTATCTGCTCACGTGCCCATCAATACGTATGTCCCAAACCCTCGGTACCCGCCCTCGTCGTCTTCGATCGTACCCCTTTGGGGGCATATCTTCCTTACCCGCCACGTGTATGCAGCGCAGCCCCTAAAACAAGGGAAGAGAGGACGGGTGGAAGGGGGAGGGATAAGAATGGGACACGAGAGAAATGAGCAGGAGGGGAGCAAGGAGCAGAAAACAAGTGGTAGAACCAGACGGGCAGATCGGGTGGGCAGACTCATAGCGGGCAGGTCGGGAAGGTGGGCCCAGGCGACGAGGTCGAGCAGGCGGGTTGCTGAAGCGTGGGTCCTGCATGAATCGCGAGGAAGTCTCGAGCGATAGCGCGATTCCCAAGTAAATCGTGAGAAAAGCCAGCGTGGGCCACGAAAGGCATGAAATCCGAGACCACAGGGCAGCGACGGGGCCGCTGAGGGCAGCACCGGGGCCACGAAGGGCAGCGAGGGGGCCACAAAGGGCGACAGCGGGGCCACGAAGGGCATGCATATGGGGCCACGACGGGCGCGATCGAGCGGGGGCCACGAAGGGCAGTCGTATACGGGGCCACAAAGGGCGACAGCGGGGCCACTGAGGGCAGCAAAGGGGCCACGAAGGGCAGCGAGGGGGCTACGAAGGGCGACAGCGTGGCTACGAAGGGCATACGTTTGGGGCCACGACGGGCGCGTGCGAGCGGGGCCCCGAAGGGCATATAATGCGGGGCCACAAAGGGCAGCGACGGGGCCACTGAGGGCAGCAACGGGGCCACGAAGGGCAGCGAGCGAAGGCGACCGCGGAACCAGTACGGGCAGCGAGGGGCATCGAAGGCGGGCGAAGGGCAGCGAGCGGCGACTGCAGTCATTAGCGGGCTGGTCGGGCGGGCGGGCAGGCCCCGACGGGCGAGTCGAACGGTCGGGTCGTTGAAGCGTGAGTCCTGCTTGAACCGCCAGGGAATATGTAGTGGGAGCGCGATCCCTGAGTGTCGAGGACCGGCATCTGACTAAAGTGTTAGGAAATATCGAGCGAACCGGTTCGGTGGTAAGTTGCGAGGAAGTCCCGAGCGAGAACGCGATTCCGCAATAAATTGTGAGAAAGTATCAGGCGGGAGACGCGATTCGGTGGTAAATTGCCAGGAAGTCCGAAGCGAGAGCGCGATTCTTCAATAAATTGTGCGGAAGTATCAGGCGGGAGCCGTTGTTGTTAACCGGGGGCCAACGACACAGCTTGCGGGGGGGGTCAACAATAATTATTTTCAGAAGTGAGACTTCAACAACAACAGCAGCAACAACAACAACAACGACAAGAACAACAACAATCAGTTTACCCTCACGCGCTATGTTTCCACACGAAGCATACGACCATCATGATAACCATCCACATCATGGGGGACTCTTCTTCTATAGCGGGGTCCGTTATTCCCATTCCCAGGTCTCTCGCCCAATGATGTCTTGCAAACACCTCATTCCAGGAATTTAAACATATCCCGCCTAGAGAACACATGCCCGTGCCTTCCTGCGCCGATGCGAGACCGTCAGTGGAACCCCAGCGAAGGGTAAAGCACAAGGAAGTATCGAACGACAGGATTGCCTTGGTGGGGATGGGGGCTGTCGGCGGTGAGGCAAGGGCTTGGCCCTGAATAGAAAGGGAGGAAGTCTCGAGCAGGGCTGCTGTTGTTGATGGGAGCGGCGCCAATTCTGAAGAGAGCCGGGCGCTAGTCCAGCGTAAAGCAAAACGAACTCTCGAGCGGGAACGTTGGTTTTGTTGGGACGGCGGCTTTCGGCGGCGAGGAGGAACACCGCCTTGAATAAGAAAGGAGGAAGCATCGAGCGGGAGCCGTAGTTTTGTCGGGACGGGGGCTGTCGGCGGCGGGGAACAGAACCGTCCCGAGGAAAAAGATAGGAAACCTCGAGCGGGAGTGGCGCCGCATCCAGCGTACGCTGGTCGTGGGCAGCGCGGAGGTGATCCTTAGCGCCTGCTAGGCGCCCACGGCGCAGGCCCGCGCGTCGCCAGAGAGGTGGCCGCAGGGCGCCGCCGGCTCGACTCCAACGGCGGTTCCCACCAGTGCAGTAGTCCCGTGGCCGGCGGGAGGCGACCGCCGCCGGCCACTCCGCGACTGGCGGCGCTAGTGTCGCCCACGGCGGCGGCCACCAGGGCCAGGACCACCACCAGCGCGACCGCCAGCGGCGCGACCACCCCTGGCACGGCCATCACTTCCACCACCAGGACCACCACGACAACCACCACGACCACCACAACCACGGCGGCCACCACGACCACAACGACCGCCACGACCACAGCAGCGGCAACCACCACGACACGCACCTCCGATTGTCGGTACCACCACGACGTCCACGACGCTCCGACAATCGCCCCCCGCCCCCCGCCTTTTCCATCCCCTCCCCCGCCTCTTCCCTCCCCCCCGCCTGGCCGCCTTTGCGTGCTACCCCTGGTCTGCCCTGTCGCGTGCCGGTCTCATTAATGTGCATTGCCGGGGGCCGGTCTCCGAAGGGCGACCGGCTGTGGTGCACAGGTGGCAGACTGAGTGGACCACCGCTCAGGGCAGCCCCCTGAGCGCTGGCGGGGGCGCCAGACCCGCGGCCAGCGAGGAGGAGCAGGAGGAGGAGGAGGAGGAGGAGGAGGAGGAGGAGGAGGAGGAGGAGGGGGAGGAGGAGGGGGGGGAACGCGTCGGGACTTCCGGGGGGGGGGCCCTATGGAAAGCGCAGGGCATCGCATGTCTGGGGGGGCGGCCCTGGTCACAGGTGCCCCCAGCTCGTCGCTGCCCCCAGGTTCCTCTGGGCCTCGCCGATGGGGTGCTTCTGGAGGCCGCGGGGAGCCTCCGCCCCCCGGGATTCTCCTCCTCCTCCTCCTCGATCCTCCTCCCCTTCCCCTTCCCCGCCTCTCCTTCGATCCTCCTCCCCCCCTCCTCGGATTATCCTCCTCCTCAATCCTCATCCTCCCCTTCCCCCCTCCCCCCTCGTCACCCTCTTGGGCGACGGCCCAGAGACGATACAGTCAAGACGCTGAGGTGAGGAGCACTTTCGACTGCGGAGGGGCTCCTGGTGTCGGGGCCGCTCCTCAGGTCCAGGTCGGGGAGCTTCATCTGAGTGGCCGAGACCCGCCGTGGCCAGAAAAGCGCCCTTTGCTCCCCATTCACGATGGCTACATGATTGTGTCCATCCTGGCGTTTTCCTTCGATTTCGGGCTCTGGGGGCCCGCTTTCGGGCACCAGGGCCGCCAGCAGTGGATCTGGGGCGCGGAGCCGGCCCAGGGAAAGGGGTCGGGGCCTCTGGGGCCTCGCATTGAGAGAAGCAGCATCATCAAAGTCATTGTCGTCATCACCATCATCATCAGCAGCATCAGCATCATCGCCATCCTCCTCATAAGCATCATCATCCTCATCCTCATCATCGTCATCATCATCAGCCGCAGCATAATGATAATCAGCATCATCATCAGCAGCAGCATAATAATCATCATCATCAGCATCAGCATCAGCATCATCATCAGCATCATCCTGTCTGCCCGTGTCCCCCGCGAAGCCGTGTGTATCGTCGGAGACGGCGCCGTCGTCTCGAGGGCCTCTTGGGCGTTGGCTCCTCCCTCGAGCTTCGAGCCGAGGCCGCTGACATGCCTCGCCGAGGCTGCAGCGGTAGGCTGCCCTGGGCGCTCGCCCATCGACACGATCGAAGTCGGTGCGGGAAGACAGGGGATCGACGAAAGAACTCCCAGAATTGCTTGTCCGTCGAATCTACGAACGAATGCGTAGAATGTTCCGCGGATCTGCGGAGCATTCTGGGTATTGTTCGTCGCCTCGACAACGAAAACGAAATTCTGGGTAAATCAATGTTATAGTCGACCACCTACTCGAAGCATGTGGACGAAGGCCGACAGCAGCTCCTGCCGATTTTGAACGGGAGCTGTTGTCGCTGTCGCCGCGGACGGTGCCCGTTCGAGACAGAAAGTCGCCTGCCCAACAGTGGCCGCTGACGGATTTGGATCACACGTGCTGTTGGGCATCGCATCCACCGTTCCAGAGCCCGCCTGGGACGTGCCCGGTGCAGGGCAGCTTGCACCAGAGGGCTGGGCAGCTGTGAAGCACGCGGGAAAGAGGACCTTGGCATCGCCTGAACGCGTGCCTTCTTTTTCGGCGAGGGCCATCGAGGATCCTGCTGGGTCGTCCTGCGGAAGAGTGCGCGCACGAGGCCGGAGAGTGCCACGGGGCATGGGCGTCCCAGCGACGGCGGGGAGAGCGGAGGGTGGGCGGCGAGCACGGCGGAGACGACCGGGGCACGTGTGGGCTACAGCGGAGGAGGAAGGCGAGCGGGGTTGGCGCTTTCTTGGGGGTTGGTGCTGCAGCCTCGCGCATGGTTGATCCTGGCTCCGCTCGGACGTGCGCATGTTTCTCGGCAGGCACCATCGAGGAGCATCTGAGGCCATGTTGCGAAAAGTGCACGCACGGAACCGAAAGTGGCATGGGGAATGGACGTCCGAGCGACGGCGAGCGATAGGGTTGCAGCCACGAAGGCGATCAGCTCCTTGGTTTTGCACTCTTGGTAGGCCTCCGCATTGCTATCGATCTGAACCGATCAGGCTTTGCTCCTCCTCCTCCTCCTCCTCCTCCTCCTCCTCCTCCTCCTCCTCCTCCTCCTCCTTCTCTTCCTTTTTTCTTCTTCATATGATTAGTATTATCAGTAGTAGTTGTACTTTTGTGTGTCTCATTCTTCCTGTGCCGATTGCACCGCTTCACCTTTGTCTGCACGAGGCCGCGACTCCCCAGCCCCGCGGCTTCACCCTGCGGCACCCGCGCGGTGCACGATGCAGGCCCTGTTGAGCCATCGGGCTGTTCGGGAGGCTCTCGTCGCCACGGCCAGGCGCGCCCCTCAAGCCGGCGCAGCGGGGCCATCGTGCGAGCTCCAGCCCACGAAGAGGGCGGGGGCAGCTCTTCGTCCCAGATCCATCCCTCCTCCCTCCTCCCCTCCTCCTCTTTTCCTCCTCCCTCCTCCACCTCCTCCTCCTCCTCCTCCTCCTCCTCCTCCTCCTCCTCCTCCGCCTCCCTCATCCTCCTCCTCCTCCCTCCTCCTCCTCCTCCTCCCTCCTCCTCCTCCTCCTCCTCCTCCTCCTCCTCCTCCTCCTCCTCCTCCTCCTCCTCCGCCTCCTCCTCCTCCGCCTCCGCCTCCGCCTCCGCCTCCTCCTCCTCCTCCTCCTCCTCCCCCGAGGCCGAGGCCCGAGGCCCGAGGCCTGGTCCCCAGGGCCCGCCCTGCCAGAGGCACGACGTCGGTCGCGGGGCGGCCCTGCCGAGCTGCTCGCGAGCGAGCTGCAAGCAGGCCGTCTCGGGCCGGACGAAAAGGGGGGATTGGGAAAGGGGAAGTTACGAAATTTGCTGCATGCAGCTGGTTTCGGTCCCACCGAGGGGCCTATTCCTCGATACATGGCCGCCTCCCGGCGCCGGGAGGCGCCGGGAAGATCAGCTACGGGAGTTGATTCTCAACCCCCCCCTTTGCTATCCCCCCCTTTCGCCCGACCCGACCGTCGCTAGGGCGCAGCAAGGAGTGAGGCTGTCGCTGTTGTCACACGACGACGGCGGCGGCGACGACGACGACGTCGTGTCACTCTCGTCGCCGCGGCCCGACACGGGAGAAAAAAAGCAGGATAGGACCCCGAGAGGGGTTTGAGGACCGGTTTCGCGTGGGTTTGGGTTGGTGGGACAAGAGGATCGACGAGCTAGATCGAAGGGAAGTGTTTGAGCAAATTGTCTAAGGACCCAGGTATATCCTAAGTGATTTTGAAGCAATTGATCGCCCCGCTCACCGTAAATATCGTTCCATCGCACAACGTCCAGGTGTCACCCGTTCGATGCAAGATTCACGTTGTTGAACGGCGCAGAAAAGCCCACATCCAAGTGACAGAAGGAAGACCAAATCTAAGGGTGGCGCTAATCGGGGACGCAGCCGTTTTGATGAGAGAGTTCTGATTTCAGGAAACCTAGCGAAGATGTCATGCGAAGCACTCTTGGAACCGACCGTCCACATTGCGTGAACGAAATGCGGTATGCGGCTCCGTCTCACGCTCTCCGCCGCGAGGTCCGTTCCGGCAAGCGTCCAGTTGCGACCCCACGCTCCTGGGCAGGGCGGACAAGCTTCTAGTTCCTGGGGCCCTGGGCTCCGGCATTGGGCTCGGGCCGCGCCGAAAGACAAGCTGAGACGGAGCCCAGGAATGAATGGTGTGTCGTGTAAGTGCCTATGCAAAGAGGTCCTGGCAGGGCTGGGGTACCTTGGTACGTTCGCCCCCATGGCCCAGCTGCATCACAGATTTCTGCATTCCAGGTGGGAGGAGGAAGAGGAGGAGAAGCAGGAGGAGGAGGAGGAGGAGTGCCCCCATGGCATGGTCCAGCTGCATTCCAGCTTGCCGCGGTGTTCATTGCGGGGTGGGTACGCTCCAGCAGGGCCGTCCGCCGTCGACCTCCTCCTTTCGAGCCTTTCGATAAGGGCTCCACGGCGCAGGCCGCGCCAGCATCTTCGTCGGCTTCGAGCTTCCTCCGACCAGGCTGGTCGGCTGCTCGGCCTCGCCTGTTACGCGAGGCGGGGGCACCACTTGGGGGCCTGCCATGGAGCACGGTGCTCCATCTTGCCTTCTGCTGATGAGGGGCTGAGCCTGGATGCTGGGGGGGCCGCTGTCTGACAGCCCGCCCTTCGGCCGCTCATGGGCTGCGGGCTGCCAGACATGCTTATTTCGTTCGTCTTGTGCTCTTTGCCTTGTCGTAGCCGTTGTCGTCTTTTTCTGGTTGCCCGCCCTTCGGCCTCCTGGCTGCGGGCTGCCCCTCGTCGTAGTGTGCTGACCTCCTCCTCCTCCTCCTCCTCCTCCTCCGCCTCCTCCTCCTCCGTCTCCTCCTCATCTCGATCCGCCGCATGCTGGCCGCATGCTGTCTCCATCTAGCAGACTGCTAATGCAGGCTACCTTCGTCGAACTTTCCTTCGGGGCCTGCCTCCAGGAAGGCAGGCCAATCCAGTTTCGAGCGTCCTCCTGCTGATCCCAAAGATTCCGCCCGTGCTCCTCCCTGGGAGCATAGGCCAAACAGGCGGGCAAGTGCAAATCCCCCCCTCGAGTTTGCCCCCTCCCCTACCCCCAGCACCCCCCCCCCAACGTCTCGCCAACCCCCCCCAGACCCCGCTGTCCCCGCTGCCCCCCCTTCGAAGGCACTCCGAGCTCCAACGTGAGCGCCGGGAGGGCGCCACCACCACCACCACCACCACCACCACCACCGACAGAGCCCCAGGTCGACCTCCACCGCGGGCGGCCAGAGCGCACCAATAGCGCTCGAAGACGCAGCGCCGTGTGCCGACGAGGCGACGGATGTCCCCATCCAGGGGACCCCTGACGCTTCATGATGAACGCAGAGTATCCAGCACACCAACCGACCTGCCAGTCACCTTCTACACGGCCACTTCTTGGTTGGAGCATATCGCAGGCTCTGGTCCTGGCTGGAGGCTGCACGTTCTGGGGAAGCCAGAAGAGACCACCGTGAGTTGGGCAATGTTTTTGCTCTCTCCTTCTCTCTTTCTCTCTCTCTCTCTCTCTCTCTCTCTCCCTCCGTCTGTATCTCTCTCTGTCTCTCTCTCTCTCTCTCTCTCCTGGCCGGAGCGAGGCGCTCGGCAGGTCGGTGCGCCCGCAGGCTGTCCGCTGTGGCAGCAGCAGCCAGGAGGGCCCGAGGTCTCTGCTGTTCCACCCGTGTGAGTGCGCACGGTGCTCGGCACGGCCTGCCGGCTCGGCACAGACGCGCCTGCGTCCGCCGGCGTTGCCGATGAGAAAGTCCGCACAAAACTATTCAAACATGGTGAAAATTGTAGAAATCAACGTCCCCAGACCGAACTGTTGCCTCCTCCTCCTCCTCCTCCTCCTCCTCCTCCTCCTCCTCCTCCTCCTCCTCCTCCTCCTCCTCCTCCTCCTCCTCCTCCTCCCTCCTCCTCCTCCTCCTCCTCCTCCCTCCTCCTCCTCCTCCTCCCTCCTCCCTCCTCCCTCCTCCTCCTCCCTCCTCCCTCCTCCCTCCTCCCTCCTCCCTCCTCCCTCCTGCTCCTCCTCCTCCTCCTCCTCCTCCTCCTCCTCCTCCTCGGCCTCCTCCTCCTCCTCCGAGGCCACAGTCCATCCGCCACAGCGAGGGCCAGGAGAGCGACAGCGAGGAGCGGCCCGCCTTCGCGTTGGCCCCGCGCGCTTGGCCATCCGTGGGATGCGGTGGCGCCGTGGTGGCCAATCATCCTCAAGGTGCCCCCGACTGCCCCCATCGCTCAAGAACCGCGAGGCTGATGATGTAGGTGCCGTGTTTCCCCTAGGGGCCCTGGACCACCACCCGAGGGAGATAGAGGGGCCTCGGGAGGCTTAGACGTGAGAGCCCCGTTGGTCGGAGGCCCTCACTGTGGCCAGGAGGAGCTGAAGGGGTGCCTGCTGGAGTGGTTGGTGGTGGGGGGGGCACCTTGTCGTCGCCGTCGGAGTCGAGCGGGACCCGCGCGCTGCCCCCATCCTGAAGGTGTGTGGAGGACACGTGCGAGCGCATGTTGTGACCTGACAGACGCATGCGCCGAGCCATGCACGGTAGGTTTGCGTCGTGTCGACCAGCGGCGACCCCAGCGCGGGCGTTCAAGGTTGAACGCCGCCGGCGACCCAGAATCGATCGATGTTGAACGATCGGACGTTGCGGAGACGGCCGATCGTTCAAGGTTGAACGATCCAGCGCGGTGTCAGAAACCAACGCCGGGGTCGACACGACGCGAACTTGCCGCACCTTCCTTCCCCCACATGCGTGTATGTGTGTGTGCGTGTGTCGGTCCTGCTCGCATGATGAATTGCACGCTGGCTCTGTTCGGCGTTCTGTGCGAATCGACAGGTGGTGTGCTTCGCAATTCGATAGATGACAAGTCGATGTGGCCCAGCTGCTCGTCGCTAAGGGGCATAGGGCACGGTACCGAATTCAGCGTTGGGGTGCTCGGCGTGACAACAGCAGAGAGGGGGGGAGGGGGGGGCAGATGCACAGAGCCAGCTCCGCGTTCGGCGCGGCCACGGCAGAAAGAGGGCACGAGGCCCATGTCGTAGTCGGCACCACCGCACGTGGCAGCGGGCACAGGACTTGAAGCGCTTGACCGAGGCACGGGGTACGGAAACATTTCTGTGCCAGGAGCGGCCGCACGCGGGCCCGATGTGCCGGGGTCCGAGGCGATTCCAGAGCCAGCGAGTTGGCACGAGGCCCCGCACAGGACACCGGGCGTTAGGCCGATTCCACTCTCAACATCGCGTGACCGCTTCTCCAGAGGGCGCCATGAAGAATCGTGAAGGTCTCGCTGTTGCTGAATGTGCATGACAGAACCGAAGAAGACCAGGCTACGAGCGTGAACGAGCGTCAAGGGCGCATCAGTGCACTCCCAGTGCTCGATGGGTCTCGCTTCTCGTAGTCGCTCTGAGGCGGCCGCCTGGGAGGCAGCACAAAAGTCACACGTGGCGTCGTTCTGCGAGCACCGGGAAGAAAAGGTTAGGCACGGATTACGTTCCAAGAGAACCGTAAGGCGCTCAGACCACGCTGTGGGTGAGCATTAGGAGATAAGCATACAGGCAAGGGTCAAGTTCGCGAGCACCTCGCAAATTCGGACAAAACGAGGCCGATGTGAGGCATAGCTTGGTTGACGCGTTGCGTATACTCAGCAGCCAATCTGGAAATGATTCCCGAGCGAGTTATCTTGAGAAGGGAAGCGCAGAAGCATTGGTCATGCAGAACAGGGGCACTGGTCAAACCCCAGAAAGGATCAGACCAAGCAATATCCAAAGTTTGCGTTGGAGTCTCTCCGGGAGCCGTCTGATGGCCTCTTGGAGCTCTCCAGAGGCCCTGAAGAGAGCAGTCGTGGGAGGTCTTTGGAATGACAATGCAGCCATCCTGAAAGCAAGAGTCACACAGGAGTGGGTAGTTGAGGGACCCCCCTAGGCGCGCGATGAATAGCGGATTGGAGCTTTGTTGGCAGTCTCGTTCCCCAAGCGGTGATCTTACTTCTGTTCTGAGGAGATGGCCCTGTGTTGCACGATCGGCCGAGGGTGCTTGGACCGCTACGGCGTTGGTTGCGTGGACCGGTATGTCCATCTGTAGCTTCGCGCCGATTGGCCGTGTAATTTGGTGTCGGCCGTAGGTTCTCGGACCGCCCTTATTTTGGGTGTTTGGACTTCTACGGTCTCATGGTAGTTTCCTACAGCCTCCAGCCCATTTTGTTTCGTCTATGGTGACGACCGCCCGCCGTACCGACCTTGCCTTGCACGGTCGGCCGTTGGTGTCTGCGACGCTATGGCGTTGGCTGCTTGGACCGCTACGGGTTTCTGCGGCCTCATCTGGCTTCCAGCTCCACTTGCCTTGCATTCCAGGGTCGGCCGGAGGTACCTACCCCGCGGCCGATTTCGACCGGCGTTTTTTTCGGCCACGCTCGCAGGACAGCCTGTTGAGCAGGGGCCCGGCGATAGCCTTGCACTCGATCTTGGTGCGTCGTCTTCCTTTGCCCCGTGGTGCGGGACAGCCCCCACTGAGGGGCAGCGGATTTTCCTCTCCCTTTTGTGTTTTGCTCCGAAGCAGTCTAATTTGTTTTTAAACAAAAAAACAAAACAAAAAAAAAAACAAAAAAAAAACGGTCGGCCGTGGGCGCCTGGCCCGCCCTGGCTCTGCCTGCTCGGACCGCCACGGGTCTCCCGTGGCCTCCCGCTGCGCTTGCAGGGGCGGCCGCAGGGGCCCCGGGACTCACCGCCCACCAAACCACCCCAACCCAATCCGAAGGCCACGATTTGCCCTCCATTTCCAGTGGGTGGGGGGGGGTCGGGGAACCTCGCAAAAACACGTGCAACCCGTACCCCCCCCCCAACCCGAAATTCGGGTCAAATGCGGGTCTTCGGCTTGGGTTGGGGTGGTCTGGTAGGTGGTCAGGGACGCTGGGGTGGCCGAGGGCCTCCACGGCCGCACGGGCCGTGCCCTCTGGGGCCGGTCGTGGGTGCTTGGCCTCCTGGGGCCTCCCAAGCCCAGACCCCCTCGCGTCGTGAAAAAATCACGACGGGAGGTTTTTCATTATTTTTGGCCTTTGGGGGCCCTTACGGGCCCTCGGGACGTCAAAAAACGACTCAGGACGAAAACCCAGTCCCGGGGAATGGGTCGAGACCTCGGGGGGTCGACGTCATGAAAATATCATGACGTCGGGGGTCTGGGAGGGGGCCAGAGGCGAACCCTAACCCTACCCCCCACGATTTCTGAGGGCGAGGGCGGGGTTCACTTCGTTCGGGAGCTCCCGAACGAAGTCAACCCCACCCTCCCCCTCAGAAATCGTGGGGGGTAGGGGTATGGTTCGCCTCTGGCCCCCTACTCCCGTGGCCTCCTGCCCCACCGGTCTGATGTCCAGGAGTCGCTGGTAGGCGGTTGGGTCGCCATGGCCTCCGAATGGCGTCTGGCCTCCCAGCTTTTGGCTTCACGTGTGTCCACGTGGCCTGGCCCACGCTGGCGCAACAGTCACTTGCTTGGGGCCCATGCGCTGGCATGAGCGGGCCGTCGGAGCCCTGATACGCACCCTGTGGGGCGTCCCAAGCTTATCTGCGCCTCGGACCTGCCGTGGGACGTTATTGAGGCCATGCTGGAGGCCAATTTGGGTCGTCTTGCGCCACTTTGGAGTTCACCAGGCTTTTCTGGGGCAAGATTGGAGCCGTCTGGAACAATATATATATATATATATATACATATTTATAGACTGGTCGCGACCTCCCCCCCTCCCGTCCAGACCAGACAGGGTGAGGGATAGGTCAACCCTTTTCCGAAAGACCAGGTTATATTCGAAGAGCTGGGCTCTGAACCTCGAATTCCCAGAGGACTGCTGGGATAAGATAGCATACTGGCTGCTTGTGTGTGGTCTTCAGGAAGGCGTCGCAGTGGGCGATCCGGGCCTGCAGGAAGGCCAAGTCGTTACACGACCCAGCCGCAGGATGCTCCGTGGCCTCGTTCGCGGCATTCTTGGAGTCGCGTGTGTTCTCTTGGATATCACACCTCTGGGGTTCAGCCAACGTGTTGTTGCGGCCCCCTCTTCGGGTTGTGAGCGGGCTGTTCCCAGAGAGCAGCCGCGCGAGCAGGATCACACCATCTTCGGCAGCAGCACGGAGGCCTATTCCCCGTCCCTCTTCTCTCCCTCCCTTTCCTCCTCATCCTCCTCCTCCTCCTCCCTCCTCCCTGTTCGTTCCTTTCCTTTCCCATCCTGCTGTCCCCGTTCCTCCCCCTCCCTTGCCCTCACCTTCTTTCCTCCAACCTGCTTCCGCCTCCCTCCACACCTCCCCTCAAACCCCCACTCGGATCCGCTTGTCTGAAAGAGGGATTTCGTAGAAGGTATTATAGCGAGAGGCAGAGAGAGAGAGAGCCGATTTCCAACGCTACCCACAAGGGGGGCTTTCGAGGGAAGGGCTTGCTTCTGCCACCATCCCAGATTGCTGCTCGCCTCCGTGTATGCTGGCACGCGCGAGATGATGACAAGGAATATGGCGCGGCGGAAAGAGAATGAGGAGGATTGGAAGATGTAGAGGTAGAAGAACAGGAAGATACCACGCAAAGGAGGATGGGGAGGAGGGTCAGGAAAATACGGGCATCGACTAAGAGAAGCAAGACGACAACGACGACGACGACGACGACGACGAAGACGACGACGACGACCAGAGCCAGGAGCAGGGGGCCCCATCCGATAAGAGATGAAGCCAGCGACAACCACGAAAGAAGGAGGAGGAGTAGAACGAGAACGAGAGGAAGTGGAGAAGGAGGAGATCGAAAACACGAGGGGGAAGAGGGGGGCAACGGGGAGGAGAGTGAGGAGGACGAGCTGGGCCCCGTCCTTTACCCCGCTGGCCGAGGAGGACGACGACGAGCCGGCCGAGGAGGAGGTCGGCGTGGGCGAAGAGGGGCAGCCAGGGGCCAACGACGAAGAGGCCCGGGCTGGCGGTTGGTCTTCGCGCGCCTGTTCTGTTATTCTTGTTTCCCCTCGTCATCCTCCTGCTCATCGTCGTCCTCCGGTTTGAAGCTAGGCAAATTTAGATCAATTGAGGTTGCAGCTTTGGGTTGGTACAAGAAAAAGGGCAACATCAGACTTATCCTCCTCATCATCCTTTTCTTCCTCCTACCCCTCCTCCTCCTCCTCCTCCTCCTCCTCCTCCTCCTCCTCCTCCTCCTCCTCCTGCCACCGCAGCTCGACTCAGCGAGTGCCTCGGTCCGCGCCCCCCACGCCCCCGCGGGGGGCCCTGCCCTAAGGCAGGCCGTGTACGGCGCCCAGGGCCGCTTGTACACGCAGCTACGGCTCAAGCAGTCATGTGGACCACGTCCGCCTCCGCCGTACCCCGATGGGGTAGCGTCGACCCTGGCGACGAGCAGGTAGAGGGGGGGGGGAGGCAGATCGTCCGCTCGTCAGAAACAGGGGGGGGAGGTCGCCATGGGCCCCGGGGGGGAGGAGTGCAACCGGTTACGTCGTAGGTCGCACACCCCCCCCGGTTGAGATTGGGTAGTCCTCAGAGGACCTAGTGGAAGGTCTTGCACGGAAGGTAAACGAGGAATATGGAGTATATAATGACGGCTTCGCCGCAGTAGTTTGTGCAGCTTCTTCTGGACATCAATCGGTACGCCGACGCTTCGCACCCTGAGTAGCCAAGAACGGCGAGTCCTCGTATAGATTCACCGGTGTCGGGTACTTGGTGCTGCCTGTAGCAGGTACTGTTCAGTGCTCTTGGGAGTCGCTGTACTGGTTGATGAAGTGGCCGCAATAGCGGGTTCCCCCATTCTTGGTAGGGTTGTAGACGAGGTTCCCGTTGTTCTTGAAGATGGTGTTCTGGTGGAACGGGCCGTAGAGCTCCAACTTGGTAAACATCTCAGTGGGGTACTTCTGGAAGACAGGACCATGCATGAGTAAAGACGTAGCCGTCTTCAGGTCGGCGACGTTGGGCGTCGGGTAAGTCGGTAGCTGTGGCGTCAACGTCTTGTCAACACTAGGGATGTATACCTGGAAGATCGTCGTGTCCGTGTATTCTTCCGTTTTAACGATCAGGTAATCGGAGCGCGTGAGCCAGTAGTTGCGCTGTAATGGCATAGGGTTCTGCTAGTGCGGCCCCATGCCATCGCGCTCGTCGGGTACTGGTGCCAAGGAGCCCTCTGGACAGGTTACTTGCATGTCCTTGGACCCAGCATATTTGTAGAAGTGCTGGAAGACCGCCTGGATGTCGGAAACGTAGAAGCCATAGGCGCCATTTGGGTTCAGCGACATCTTGGCGAGTAATTGCGTCCAGCAGTTGGACGAGGACCCGTCCGAAAGTATAAATGGGAGCGAGTCAAAGTCCTGGACCCTGACGCCAATCTGGACGTGAGGTCCTTCTGTGTACGAGGTCGTGGTCTCGTCGGGACCCGTCGTCTCGTGCCTCGGGTAGTATTTAGCCTGGCGCGACATGCAGAAGTAGACGGCAGCACCCAGGTAACGAGTGGTGTACGCTGAAAGGTCGAGCCGTAAGCTATGCACGGGGTATACAGTATGCAGACCTCTAAACATCGTAGCGTAATTGCCACCAGCATGGTGTACACAGCATAGCAGATAGCGTTGGTGGCACTGGGCGCGTTGCCAAAATATGCATCTGCACTGTTGGTTAAAAGAATACGCACCATCCGACTGCGACGAGACAGCGTAGTCACGCAAGGGTGGTGGTAGGCAACATGAAGGAGACAATTTACTCTTTTGCACTGTAGTAAGTAGCCGGTCACCTTTTCCCGGAAAAGGCTCCGTCCCAGGGTTTCTCTTTTAGTATTGTTACCCCCGGCTTCGACTTGAAGGAGGCCAGCGGAATTATCTTGCGATAAATGGACGAGTTTGAAGGAGGCCGGCGGAATTATGTTTGAGGATGTCTCGAGCGAAACACTTGTTTTTCAGAATGTGTTGAGGATGTCTCGAGCGAAACGCTGGTTTTGCAGAGTTGGGGGGTGTCTCGAGCGAAACGCTTGTTGTTCAGAATTTGTTGAGGACGTTTCGAGCGAAACGCTGGCTTTGCAGAGTTGGGGCATCTAACATGGCGTCGGGCCCAACGCCGAATTATGGGGAAACGCACGGGCGGCCGAAGAGCGCTGCCCGAGCTCTGAATTGCGCTTTGGGTGACTCTCCAGGGAAGACGTTGCGAGGATGTCTCGAGCGGGAGCGAGAATTCAGCTTATCCAGGTCACGCAGGGGGGTATCCAACATGACTGTCCCGAGCTGGAACCACGTGTTTTTTGTCATTTTCATCTCTAACATGATTGTCCCGAGCTGGAACCACGTGTTTTTACGTGTCCAGGCCACCCAGGGGTATCTAACATGGTTGTCCCGAGCTGGCACCGTGTTTTTACGTGTCCAGGCCACCAACACGACGTTTGTCCCCAGCACGTTCTGTAGCGCGTCCCCTTGGAACGCCGCGCGGTGCGTCCCCGTGGCACGTCCCCTGGCACGTCGCCTGGCTCGTCCCTTGGAACGTTCCGCGGCGCGTCTTCTTGGCACGTTTCCTTGTAAATTTGCTCTGGGGCAGCTACTATGTGGACTATATGCTCAGGCAGCTCGAGCTTAAGATCCAGATCAGTTTGGTCAGGACTCGGATGCAACGGAGGATTCGATCCAGAACATTATAGAGCACAATCGGGGCATGCCACATCGCAGTTCAGCACGGCGCAGCACAGCACAGCCCTCGGCACTGTACATTAAGATCGATACGCTCACTCAGCATTGCAACCTGGCACGTTCCGTGGCGCGTCCTGTGGCGAGTCCCTCTGGCACGTCGCGCGGCGCGTCCCCTGGCACGCCCTGTGGCACGTCCATTGGCACGTTCCGTAGCGCATCCCCTTGGCACGTCCCGCGGTGCGCCCCCATGGCACGTCCCTTGGCACGTCGCCTGGCGCGCCCCTTGGAACGTTCCGCGGCGCGTCTTCTTCGCATGCCCCCCATGTGAATTAGCTTTGCGGCAGCTACTACGTGCTCAGGCAGCTCGAGCCGAAGATCCAGATCAGTTCGGTTAGGACTCGGATGCAAAGGAGGACTCGATCCACAACGCTATAGAGCACAATCGTCACGTGGCACATCGCAGTTCAGCACGGCGCAGCATAGCACTGCCTTCGGCACGGTACATCAAGAACGATACACTCAGCATTGCAATTTGGCACGTTCCGTGCCGCGTCCTGTGGCGAGTCCCCCTGGCACGTCGCGCGGCGCGTCCCCTGGCACGTCCCGTGGCACGTCCATTGGCACGTTCCGTAGCGCGTCCTCTCGGCACGTCCCGCGGTGCGTCCCCGTGGCACGTCTCTGGCAGCTCGCTTGGCGCGTCCCTTGGAACGTTCCGCGGCGCGTCCTCCCGGCATGTTCCCCTGTCACTCAGCTCTTGGGCAACCACTAGTTATGTGTTCAGGCAGCTCGAACTTAAGATCTAGATCAGTTCGGTCAGGACTCGGATGCAAAGGAGGATTCGATCCACAACGCTATAGAGCACAATCGCGGCATGGCACATCGCAATTCAGCACAGCGCTTCACAGCACACCCTTCGGCACGGTACATCAAGATCGATACACTAGACATTGCATCTGCCCGTCGCACAATCAGGTGTCTTCGAAACGTTGCCATGTCTTACATTTCTATATTATTTTCCGGGTTTGTGGGTCGATCATGTTTCCATTGTAGTAAGTAGCCGGCACATGGTAGCTTGGCAGCGGCTCGGTAAGCATGGAGTAGGGCCCCTCGCGCAGCTAAGCAGCCACTCGACCCAGCGCTTCTTTCGCGGGGGCTCCGGGAGGGCCGCGCGCTTCAGCGAGCTCGTCGCGGCCCCCCCCTTCCGCCGCGTCGAAACCCTCGACCGGCAGCGGGTTCTTGTCGTGCAAGATCATGGGCGTGCTGTAGTAGACGCCAGGCAGCTTGTAGTCGCCGTAGCCTTCGTAGTAGTCCTTGTGCACCGGGTGGCGGATGCACTCCCAGTCGAGGTCGACGTAGCGGGTGAGCTTCCAGCGGAAGCCTTTATCGACAGCAGAGCCTTCGGGGATTACTTCGCCGTCGATCGTCTGATACTTCATCGCGTAGGTCTCGGCGAGGCCCGCGTAGGGGTCGTAGCGGAGTTTTTGATGGCAGCGCAGCCTAGTGCGGGAGTTACCGTTGATCATCAACTGCGCCAGGTAGCGAGGCTCAATGAGGCCCCGACCAAGCATGAGCTGGTCGACGATGGCGGACTTCAGGTCGGCGACGGTCATGTCGGTAGCGATCTGGACAACGATGTCCTTCTGCATCGCCAGGGGTACAACGTCGAACGGCACCGTAATCTCAGTGGGGTAAGCACGCTGCTTCGCGCACTGGTACCACACGTTGGGAACTTAGAATTCGTCTTGGAGCGGCTCCGCGGCGCGAGGGCCGACGCCCCGCCCGTCGATCTTGACCTCCTTCTCTGCAGCCGTGGCGTTGTGGATGTCGATGAGAAACCCGTCGTAGAACTTGCAGTGGCGGCACAGGGCGGCCTTGATGTCGGAGACCTGCGCGGAAGACTTGCACCCGTAGATCGCGGGGTTTTGGCGGGACTTCACTGGTATTTGTAGCCAGCCGGCTGGCTTCGTGCTGGGCGAGAAGATGCCGCGCTCGCTGCGCGTCTCCTGCTTGGCGAGGTTGCCAGCGCAGGTCTGATTGATCCAGGTGAAGAGCATGGCCGCAAGGCCGAGGTATCAGCGGTAGCAGCGCAGGCGTTGGCGGTACCCGACGCGTTTGAGCCCACGAGCTGCGCGCGGCGCCGCACGGCGAGCAGGAGGTGGTAGCCCGGGGCACGGGCCTGGGAGCTGGCAAACGCCATTCGCCTTCCTGAAGGACAAGGTCGCTGGCGAGCCGGGGCCACGTCGGCGCCGCAGAAGGAACTTCTGACGAAGTACACCACGGATTGTGCCAAGGAGGCCCCATTATTTGGAC